CGTCCGCCCGAAGACTGCTGTGAAGCCCGCGGTGTCGGAATCAAAGACAGATGATAATAACGAAGACGCTATAAGGTGGGGTTTCAACGTGGGAGTTATGACTTGGAGGAGTTGGCGGAATTGTGGTAGGCCAAAAAGTGCACATCCGGCTGGCAGTTGGGACAGTTGGACTCACTCTAGAAGGGTGTCTCGCACTAAGAGGCCGCCACCACTGCAACAAGCTGCTATACGAAGTGAGGCATGTGGGATTAGGATAGCAGTCTGGGGGGGGATATGCACATGGTCAGCTACATGTGTCGGTGACAATACGAAAATTTCTGAGAAAATTTTGGGATATTCTCGTTTTTTTCTGTGCATTTGTACCCGAACTTGCATATGAGCTTGTATAAACTGTGAAAAGGCTCCTGACCTCAGCTGAGAAGAGCGGACGTAATTTCCAACGCTGTGTTGAACTTGAAATTGATCCCTTCGTACTGTGGCTCTCACTGGTTTTCATAGAGTGTGTATTTGTTATTATCAGTAAGTTACGGTCGGAGTGGTATGGATTTTATTTTTCTTCTTTCTTTAGTGCTGGATCATCTGCCTTGTGTTGTAGGTACTCTGGCCAAGGGTGTAGCGAATGCCTTGATGAAGTCATGCGTAGACACTAGGTGGGGCCGCCCTAGGAAGAGTTGTGATGTCGTCCGGTAAGTAGGGCAAGGCGTCTATCGCAGTGGCTAGTGGGAATAGTTTTGGTATGTGAGTTCGACTCTAACCAACCACAGTATTTCCAGGTCAAATTTCCTCGGTATTTTTGTAAAATTTCAACCAAAAAATTAATTTTGTCGGAAAAGATTAATTTGAATTGGAATTGCTGTAGTATAGGTGGTATACCAGTTGTGGTAGAAAGTATATTTGTAATGGTCAGATATAGTGACAGATTTCTCATCAGTGAGGGCCACAGTCCGTTCGTTGTACGTTGAATGTGATTATGGCTATGCATATTTGAAGCCGCTCATGTGTTGTTGTCCATACTATAGACAGTTGTGTTGGAGTATTCACTTGCCCCCCATGTGTTGTTGTCTATACTATAGACAGTTGTGTTGGAGTATTCACTTGCCCCCCATGTGTTGTTGTCTATACTATAGACAGTTGTGTTGGAGTATTCACTTGCCCCCCATGTGTTGTTGTCTATACTATAGACAGTTGTGTTGGAGTATTCACTTGTCCCTTATGTGTTGTTGTCTATACTATAGACAGTTGTGTTGGAGTATTCACTTGCCCCCCATGTGTTGTTGTCTATACTATAGACAGTTGTGTTGGAGTATTCACTTGCCCCCCATGTGTTGTTGTCTATACTATAGACAGTTGTGTTGGAGTATTCACTTGTCCCTTATGTGTTGTTGTCTATACTATAGACAGTTGTGTTGGAGTATTCACTTGTCCCTTATGTGTTGTTGTCTATACTATAGACAGTTGTGTTGGAGTATTCACTTGTCCCTTATGTGTTGTTGTCTATACTATAGACAGTTGTGTTGGAGTATTCACTTGCCCCTTATGTGTTGTTGTCTATACTATAGACAGTTGTGTTGGAGTATTCACTTGCCCCTTATGTGTTGTTGTCTATACTATAGACAGTTGTGTTGGAGTATTCACTTGCCCCTTATGTGTTGTTGTCTATACTATAGACAGTTGTGTTGGAGTATTCACTTGCCCCCATGTGTTGTTGTCTATACTATAGACAGTTGTGTTGGAGTATTTACTTGCCCCTCATGTGTTGCTGTCCATACTAGAGACAGTTGTTGTGTTGGAGTATTTACTTGCCCCTCATGTGTTGTTGTCTATACTATAGACAGTTGTTGTGTTGGAGTATTCAGTTGTAACTAAGGGTATTGCTGTTGACTGTTCGAAGCAGTGTGGGGAACACCTACACACGGTTTGAATAACAGTCACGGATATAAACATTCCAGATGAATATACGAAAACTTGGTTGAAATTACTTGCAAAATTAAACCAAAAAAATTACTTAAAATTGGAATTACTCGTAACATTGCTTACAGTAGTTGACTCCAGGTAGTAACTTCTCGAAAACGCCCGAGAAAAAAATCGCTCGCTACATGCTTCGGTGATAATGTGAAAATTTAGAGAAGATTTTGGGATGTTTTTGTTGGTTTCTGTACACTTCTACCCGAATTCATATGTAAATTTTCATAATCAGTGAGGAAGCTCCTAAGCCCGGCTGAGGAAAGCAGTCATATATTCGAACACTCGAGCACATCCTACAGCTCTCACCTGCTCGTGCCTAGTGAAGCAATGGGGTTCGGACTGTATACTATTAATTCTCAAAAAGAGTCTACGAGTGATTATATCAACAATAAACAACTGCACTCGTGAAGTCGTCAAACTATTACTAATGTTAATGGTAAAAGAGCTGTAAACTCATAGGCTCTCTATGAGGAGTTCTCCTCGCATGAAAATAAGGTGGATGGTGACTGTAAGGCACTTGGGTGTCACCGCACTTATTTTGATAGTTCTATTCTGACCATCACGATGGTTGCAAAGCGTCGGTATCATCGCACTGCGGCCTCGGCGTTTCCGAAGTTGTTTATTGTCATTACGACCGGGGCAATACTGTGCTTGGTTTTCCTCATGGTGTGGTATAAGCAATTACAGGAGTACATGTAGGTGGCATACATGTTGTGCATGCGTGCAAGCCTGGTCAGGGATACTATAACGGGTTTCAAGACCGATATTGATGGCATATCACGGCGACTGAATAAGCTCATTCGTATGGAGCAGGAGAGGCGAACTGATACCGAGATTGTTCGCTCCTATATAACTCACCAGCAGCGCAACGGGGAAACCACGGAAGCAGTTGAGGTGGCCGCGAAAGTCGTCCCTGAGTCTACGGACGTCGGCAAGCCACGGAGAATGTGAGTTGTGAGTGATTCATCGCTGGTGTGGTTTGTATGATCGTTTCTGAGCAGTTACATGTTCACTTATGGTGGCCCTCCTGCGTGGTCACCTCCGGTTCAAATGCCTCTGGGGTTTTGTCTTGGCATGGAAAGCGCCTTGCAACAGGAAATCAGGGTCGAAGTAAGAGTGCTTGAGTTACAATGTTGCTTCTTTCGGCTGAGTTCAGGAGCTTTCGAAATTATAGAAGTTCACATACGAATTGCTAATTACTAATTTACATACATTGGGGGGGTTGCAGAAATCAGCAAGAATTTTCCGAAATTTCCTCAGAATTTTTATATCCTCACCAACACATGTACCCACACAAGACGGATAATGTGACGGTCAGCTAGTCTCATACCTTATCATGCATCGTTGTTATCCTGGTAACAGACCTATACTATCCACTGTACCCACAGGTACGGTACCTAACCCTAGCAATTTAGTATCATTAAGAAAGCAATTCCAGTATAGGTCTTCACATACGAATTAAGAGCAGAAGTGTACAGAAACTTTTCACAATTTTAATATTTTCACAACTGCATGTAGTTGACCATGTGCATATTTCCCAACATTGCTTATTTCTGAGTGTTCCCCTTGGAGGTGTTGGGACCACCCGTGGATGTCACCAAAAAGGAGTTCGCCGACCCCAAAGCCTTGAAGCCATTCGTGAGTTTATTGGGAATAGCACTTTTCCTTTTCCATAGTGTTCTCTACTTAGGTGTTATTGAATCGGTTGAAGAGCATGCCAACTGACGCATTGATGGTATTCAACGACGCCTTAGATGTGTGGTTCACCCCTCATGCCAGCGAGGAAGCATTTGTGAAGGCGTAAGAATAGTATATGCAATTGGTTTCCTCAACTGAGCTCGTAGGTTTCGTCACTATTTGATGAAAAATCGCACGATTTTGGGTATAAGTATACAAAAAACGACGATAATTTCTCAAAATTTTCTCAAAATTTCCATGTTCCTAGCAACACATGTAGTTGACCATGTGCATATATTATTTCCGCACTGATGTGGAGGATGATGATGACATCAAGGCAGGTTCGAGAGGGAACTGCAAATCCCAGAAGACACGATTTTGGTCTCGGCGGAGCGTAACTGTTGGCCCCCACCAGAGAGGATGCCCTACTGCCGAGACTACCCTGCCAGTGGGCATGGAACTACATATAAATACGCCAATACTGGTGGCTGGATGGGCCGAGTTAAGACAAGTATTTCCCTACTAGAAGGTAGAGGGGGATGGCGATCGTCGTCGTTGTTGTTGTTGAGGTTGTGCTCAGCGTGGACGGCTTGCATTATGGATGGCAAAGATGAGCAAGGCTGTGTGCAGTGGTTTTACAGAGATGCTAAGGAGAGTCGACAGTAGGGCGATAATGTACATCGTGAAACGCTTCGCTCCGCTGTACTCGGGACGAAGGCATTTCACCATAAAATTCAAGGCCGCCTTTCTCACGTGTTTACTTACTTTGCCGACTGGTATAACAGGCGGAATTTTTTACTCAACGTTTATTGAGATTGTGTGATTTCAGATATAGAGAAAACGTCGGTGCCTTCAGAATTGCCCTGGACGACACGCAAATGATATGGCAAACACTGTGGGGGACGAAGTTTGCTAATGTGAGGTGTTGGGAATATTCGGATGATGAAATGTCATGCCCTAGGCGGAGCGTGCGTTCCTTGAAGTGGACAGGGCAGGGTTTGGGGAGGAGGATGCGGGGAAGCTGGTGAACCCAGAAACATCGACGACGCCGTTGGTGGTCCATTTTAATGGGCCCAAGGACACTTTGGTGCAGTGGATGAAAGTAGGCTATTAACATTTAGAACTTGTATTATTCCTATGCTGACAATGTTAATTGCTGTGAGACTAAGTGCGGATGAGAAGAAGTTCCGTGTGTGACAGCTTCAGTAAGCTTAGCCTAATCACCATATAGCATTGTGGGAACTTCGTGTGTCGCCTACACGGTACAAGTCGGTATGGGAGTTCTTATTAACAAATCCTAAGAAATGGTAGAACTTCTATTATTGCTATGCTGACAATGTTAACTGCTGTGAGGCTAAGTGATGATGAGAAACAGTTCCCTGTGTGACAGCATTAGTATAATGCAGTATAATGCACAGTATAAGCCGGCATGAAAGTCCTGAAGAATAAAACCTAACGAGTGTTAGAAGTTCTAAGTTAGAACTAACACTGTTAGTTCTAACTTGTTGAACTTGTGTTAAATCTATGCTGACAGTTCTCACTTAGGAGTGTTTTATAGTTAACTGCTGCGAGCCTTACGTGCTGATGGGAGGAAATTTCCTGCGTAGAATTGTTTGTATTACAGCGTGAAATGAATGTTTTTATTATCGAGAGAATTTTCTGGGGAGTAGAAAAGTGACGGCTCGGGTAACTCAGTAGTGGGGGGGGGGGAATATGCACATGGTCAACTACGTGTGTTGGTGACAATATGAAAATTATGAGAAAATTGTGGGCAACTGTTATTGATTTGTGTACATTCCTATCATTAGTGAGGGACATGTTCAAATGTGGTGTTGATGTAAATCTCGCTCGCCCGAAGGTTTGTGTGAAACCGTCAATTTATTGTTAGAAGTGGAGGAAGCATTACCAACTAGAGCCTGGGTTCCAAGAGGGAAAGGTCACCTTCTGGGGAGAAGTGAAGGATTTTTATAAGGACATATGTCCGCACAATTTCATGCCGCGATTACCGCCTAAGAAAGTGAGGGAAAAGTGTCGTGACCGGGGATCGAACCTGGGTCCTTCAACCGGTACATGGACGGCGATGGAGAGCTGATTTCAAGTGTTCGGAGGTATGCTTGGGCAAGGACTGGCGGTGTGCGGCTGACACGAGGACGAACCCTCCGAAGGCTCCTGAGGTTTCCATTGATGGCACTGCGTTCGCACTAGGAGGCGTAAGGAAGCATCGCGGTGTTGGGATGTTGGCACTCCTCAGCGGAGCGCAGGAGTTTGTGGACGAATTGGAAGAGTCTATACGTGAAGTGTATAGAAACTAACAAGAATCTTACAGAATATTCATATTGTCATCCACACATATGGTTGTCCATGTGCATGTCCCCCCACACTGGTGTGATGATGGTCATGTCCCTCACAGGTCTTGGCCGAATGCGATCCATCGTCAGCAACGCCGTGTTGTAGTTCAACTGGATGGTGTGGTGGCAGTAGTGCTCACTGTGACTGTGTCGACTGCATAGACTATCGTAGGGTTGCACGCATGAGGGAATTGCTGTGATTTCATACACGAAGACGATGTTATGTTCAAGGCTGTTAATTGGTGTGGTTGGAGGGGGAATAGGACCAGGCATATAACAACACAAGGGATAGGTATGAGGAAGAAAGCATACTACAAGAGTGTACACACATATGAGCATTATAGCCATAGCCTAGCTAAATGATAGCACTATAGCGTGAACAACAGGGGACAGAGACACGATAATTGGGACAGGTATCCAACAGGAATAGGGCGGCTACGTTGCATTGATACCGTAGACTGGAGGATCTCCCTTGCTGGTCGCGCACGTTGTATATTTGTATGCATATGATCTTGCATGAACGGCTTCATGTGGAACACTCTTGAGCTATGGAGAATCGGATAGCTGCTCTCGAGGCCTTTGCTGTTGGGTTGACTACGTAATATTCCCAACTACTTCAAGACTGTAGACCTGTGGGCGAGCCAGGATGTAAATTTGTGGAGCACGAGTTCGAACGTTGGGTGGTGATCCTGTCGTACTTGTACGAGAACTAGAACGGCTACTATCTGCAGCAGAGAAATAAGGCTCGTCGGGCAAGGGTCAATGAGGAGACCCAGGCTTCGGTACGTCATCTAGGTATTAGCAACAGATGTCATAGACACCAGTTCCCTGTGAGTATCGATAAATGGATGCTATGGTGTTGTAGTTGTAGTAGATGTGAGGAGGTGAAGCTGTTGTAGCGTTATATTGTTGATATGGACGTTGATCCGAAAAAGCCAGGCAGCTTCGCTCCGCTGTGGGCTACCATTGGAGCCGTTAATCAAGTTGATCAGCATGTAAGCTATGACGTCACGTTATATTCATCACTACTGCTTCCTCATTGGAGTTTCACCAGTTTTACGTGAAGTGGCGTAAAACTCGGTGAAAAACGCGATATTCGTGGTGATATGCAGTAGTCGTGAAATATGATTTTCACTAGTGTTTTTCATATCACTAGGGTGAAACACCAATTCCTTTTCATGTGTTGTTGTTATTGCAGATTGGCTGTAGTCCTCGCTCGGTGAAGCTCGTGGCGAAGAAACATATATTTCTTATACTGCCAGATCGCGACGCCAGTGTTGGGATGAAATCTGGAAAGTGAGTTCAAATAGAGGTCTGCTTATTGTATTGAGCTCAATTTCAGAGCGGTCCGTATACTCCCCTGTTCGTTGAATTCGCACGATAATATGCGTCGATGGCATGCTGGGGAAAAAGTAGCCGAAAATGCAGTAGCTCTGTCGTGGACGGTAAGTTGCTGAGGAAATCAGTGGAGTTTCACCCAATACACAATCTTCAGTAAATAGCTACATAGCCTTTCCCTTAGCTAATATATCGCTCCTTACCCATCTGTATATATCTGCCTTTTCTATCTATCCCATTCTGCTCTAGTCGTTGAGTAGAATGGTGCACTAGTGATATGAAAAACAGTAACTGCATAGCGAGGATATCGGGGTTTTCGCGGAGTATTACGTCACTCCACGTAAACGGGTGAAACTCCAGTGACAAGCAATTTGAGTTCAGCCGTCGTCGGGAAAGACGAGGGCCACGAAGGGTCGGGTCAAAGTTGAGGCCAAAGCCATCGAGGAGGACGATTGGTGCACTCTGTGGATTATGACTAGTGATGAATTTGAAGCGGGGACGGTATCGTTTTGCTGTTGGGAAAAGGAGTATAGGAAGTATTATATTCGACATAATAACGACAATATTAATGTAATTCGACGAGATTTTGGTAAGAGTTGGTGACAAGTGGTTGGTTCAGGCATGTATAGAGGAAGTGGGCAGTAGCGGCTTTAAGCAGGCGGCATCTTTTAATTTATTATTGCGATCTGGTAGGGTGCCGGGATCGAACCTGGGACCTTTCCCATGTGTTCCTGTTACAGACTGCGACCCGAGAATGAATCGAAACGGCAGTAGTGTGATGAACATTTCGATCGATCCTAGTGTGCTTGAGGAGCATCTGCGGTAGAAAAAAGGAATCTTTCCGCGTGCGGTGGATGGTGGTGTTGCTCAGTTCTGACAAGTCGCGAGTAGAGGCGCAGGAGGTCGGGCAGGTGAGCGTCAGTGTGGGAAAATATGTTGGGTTCCCTCGACTGAGCTCGAGAATTATGAATGTTCGTACACGATTTTGCGTAAAAGTGTAGAGAAATCAAGGAAAATTCCCCGAGATTCCCTTAGAATTTCCACATTTTTACCATCACATGTAGTTGACCGTGTGCATATATTCCCACAGTGGTGAGTGTCGCCGTCAGCTGTATGTGATATATGTTCGCTCCCTTCAACTGAGCTCAGGAGTTTCCTCATAACATTATGATAATTTACCGTCGAATTCGGGTAAAACTGGGCAAAAACCGACAAAAATTTCTCTAAATTTTCTCATAATTTTCATTTTTTCACCAACACATGTAGTATATTCCCACATTATCATTGTCTCAGGATTCTTCCACCGACGGTCGATCGGAATCCGGAATATTACACGACAGGTTCTCCTCCACGTTATACAGGCTCGGCCATCCCATGTGATGTTCAGTTCGATTCCTAGTCGGGGAAGCGTGTCCTCTGGTGCCGAGCGTGGCGAGTTCGAGGAAGAGGAGACAGACGTGGTGAGCAGGGGGGGGGCGCTTGATGGTGGTGCTTAGATTATCTTATTATGCAGTCGGCGCGGTCTCAGAAACGTACTCGAGATTTGCGATCGGCTCGGCAGAAGGTCAAGAAGAAGGATGGTACTCATAGTAATACCGATAGTGATCACCGCGGTCAACTGGTGAGTGCATGGGTGTAGTGAAGTTTGTAAGGGAAGGATGTGCTCAGGTTCGGCCTAGTGTCGTGTATGACAGCGTTTTCGACTTGACACTAGAGCACGATGAGGCTCCGGATGTCTCTCGGATCGACCCTGCACCATCGACGACCTCCGTCGCTGCGTTACTGGTCAGTTTTCAGCGCTTGCAAGATTTTGGTATTTTCGGGGCTGTTAGGAGTTGGAGGAGGCTAGACGGGCGCTGGGTATTGCTTTGGATAAGGAATTGGAAAGTCAGAGGAAAATTAGACTGTTGCAGAAGCAGTTGGAATCTGGCAGAGAGGCTCAGGTGGGTCTGTGTGCATCATAGTTGGGGTTCGGTTAATTATGAGAGTCATTGAGAAACAGTTTTCAACATATGTTCAGTGCAGTAGTAAAAGGCGAGTATTAATCATCTAGAGAGGAGGAATAGGTGTCCAAGCGTTTTTTCTTCAAAAATGAGAGTAAATGTTAGTAAAAATGTTGAAGTCAGGACGAAAACAGGACATTTCCTCATGCATGCTCTCCTCGTATATCATGACTAGTATTTCCTATAGGAAGTGAAGCAACTAAGGAGAGAATTGAGTGGAACTAAGGAGAAGCTTGAGAAGGTGGAGGCCGAGGCTCGGGAGAAGATAAGGACTTTACAGCGTGAACTGGCTTTGGAGTTGGAGGCGAAGGACGAGGCATTGGTAAGGAAGTACCGCAACAACAGGCACTTTTGCGTTGTGCGTGCGTGCGTGATGAATTATCTTGACTGAACTACCGACCGTCCGAGGGCATCAGATGGATCAAACAAGTCCTCTATATTCCGAGGTTTGCAGAAAAACTCGAGTACGCCAACAGCTTCAAGAAATGTGTCCGAAAACAATTTTTGACGGAAGAATGTCCAGCCCGGGGATCGAACCGGGGACTAACTTCAGGATCGATTTGGGTGCACGATATGAAATCTATGACTATCAAATGCGCAATTGCAAATCATTTTTGATCATCTCACCTTCACAACGTTCATTACATTTCCAAAAGTTGTGGACTATTCGAGCTCCACCCCTTCGTCACGAAGGCCTAGTTAGGAGGGTTGTTTTACAGTGTTAAGTAGGCCTTTATGCAAAGCGATATTCTCAAATTTTGGGAGTACAAAAGTCAACGTGATAACTATGGAGTTTTACCCGTTTTACGTGAAGTGGACTCGGTGAAAACGCGAAATTCGCGCTACGCAGTAGTCGTGAAATATGTTTTTCACTAGTGTTTTTCATATCACTAGGGTGAAACTCCTATGTGAATCAGTTGACAACTTAGTCTATTGGTATGCTATCGAAATGAAGAAAGCCATATCGAGCATTTTGATTCTACATTCAACTGTTTGGTTTACACTGTAGAATCAGAATGAAGTTCTCGAGGAAAAGCTGGAGAGAAAACATGCTAGTCAGGAGGAAGCGCTCGACAATATGAAGTCGTTAAGAAAAGAACTAAAGAAGAAAACTGAGCGGCTGAGGGCACTGCAGCAGCAGCAGCAGCAGCAGCGAGAAATGACGGTGACGTTGGAATTTATGAGAAGTAGTTGAGGAGATTTGCTCAGGGCATGCGTGATGACAAAAGAGTGGTATCGATGGAGCAGGAGTTGCAGACAGAAAACCAAAATGTGATGAGATCTCTTAGGAGGGAACTGGAGAGGAAGGATGTGACGATGAAGAACCTCCGAGATCAGCTTGAAAAGGCGAAGGTAGGGGAGTTCGATGATAGCTTGGGAGGAGGCATTCGGTGGTGGTTTAACAGGGGAGTATGGGAGCACTGCGAGCTGAGAAGGAGGAAGCGCGGAATGCTAGTCGCCAGGCTGTGCTCAGGCTGGAGGGGGAGTTGGCGGAGGTTACAGCGAAATTAAAGGAGTTTAAGGAGGAACAGGTGGGTGGGGAATTTTTCATGTTTCCGAGGGAAACTCATTTTGCTAGGAACACATTTTTCAATCAGTTTCCCATGTAAATGTCATCATCGCATTAGGAGCATTTCTCCCATTTTTATCAAACCCTGGGGAATGTTATTTCTCAAAGATATACGGGTTTCTGGCGGGGGTTAATCGTAGTACTCATCGTGAGCGTGGCTGTGGTAGTTGATGAGAAATCATCACATGTCTGGTTCACAGGCTTACATTCAGTGGTGGCTTTGGTGGTGATGTAGCGAAAATAAGCAGAGTTTCCGAATCCTCGAACTCGGCAAGATTCAAAGCATTGTGACGATTCTTTGTAGTTGAAAAAACTCGTTTTCTTTTCTGGTGGCGTTTTGAACATAACATGTGTAGGAGGCGGCAGATGCGAGGTGGCAAGAGGCACAAGTTGAGAAGCAGGCTAGAGAGGCAGAGATTGTCGAGCTGAAGAGAACTCTGAAATCGATGGAAGTGAGTTGGGCTACTTTTGTGGTTAGTAGTGTCTTGGCTGCTCAGAAGTTGCCTGAGGAGCTCCACGTGGTGAAGGCCCGTCGTAACGAGGCGGAGTTGGCGGTAGGACATGGTTAGGGAAAGGAGACTAGTGTTGGAGGAATATACCTTTGCTCGGAAGTTTCCTTATTACTTATAGGAGTTTATATACGAATCGGTGTGGAAGTTTACAAAAATTTCGGAAAATTTTCTTACAATTTTTATATTGTCGTCAACACATGTGCATATTTTCCCGTTCTTCACAGTGGAGGTTGCGTCAGATGTTCGGGTTGGAGTCTGAGATAGAGGCGTTGAAGGAGAAGTTGGAGGGGAAGGAAAAGGAGATATCCGAGGCTCGAGGGCAGAATAACTGCGCGAGTGGTACAGTATGTTGTGGTGAATTTAGAGGTAGCGTTCAATCAGGTGATGGGAGGAAGCCGCCTCCCGCTCCTATGAGTGGGGGTGTTGGTAGGAGGGAATCGCGGGAAGTACGCAGCCGACTGAGTCTTGAGATGGATGAGGTGGTTGCTGGCCTGTTGGTGAGGTTCTAGAGCTTCGACTTCCCCCTGGACTTTACCGTTCGTGTCGGTCGATACATGCGGTTACAGGTAGCTGGTAGCAGTATGGCTGTGTCCAAGATGAGCCTGAGGGAGGGGGAGGAGCAGCAAAGTGTGGATAGGTATAAGAAGGTCATAATGGATCTGCAGGAGCATGTAGTAGTTGAGTATTGTAGGGAGGTTATGGTTGGGTAAAAAATTCCGTTATTGAGAAGATGTTGATACAAGTACAATAGTACGCTTCACAGTGCAGTGTTGGAACATATGTTCGTTTTCCTCAACTGAGCTCAGGATTTTCTTCCTCTCTAATTATAGGAGTTTATATACGAATTCGGCTTGAAGTACTCAAAAACCAACATGAAATCCTCCCATCTTCCTCAGAATTTTCGTATTGTCACCGACACATAGACTCCCACAACACTATTTGACTCTTGTATTGTGGACAAGGTACGCATGGTATGGTATCACCCTCAGGTAAAGAAGCAAGACGTATGGTTGGACGAGTGTGAGTTCGACATCTCCAAGTGGGAAGGTCGCTACCGCCACGAGCAGGGGGAGCATGAGAAGACTGAGAGGAAGTATAAGGAGGCTCTCGAGAAGGCGGACAAGGAGAGGGTTGTGTTGAGGAAGGAAGCTCAGAGGCTTTCACTGGAGTTGGAGCGGGTGTTGGAGGAAAAAGGGAAGTTGGAGGCAACGATGAAGGAACTTGAAGCAACTGGTAGGATAAGTTTGCATGATGGGGAAAGCTGTATGGAGCTGTTCTTAGCTGCAGTGGAGAGGAAAAAGCCCGAGAGCCGTACCACATCTAGTTCAACCAGTATGTCAATGAAGTAGGTAGTCCTTTGCTCCACATCTAGGAGTAGAATGTTCAGGAGTCTGGTCTCGTACGAGCGACGGATCGTAGCGTTGAAGATGGAGACGGTGAAGTTGAAGCAAGAGGCTGAGGCGGTTGAGGGTAGCGGTGGTTGACTGGGCGTTTTACGCTGGGGAATTTATTCCGTTCAGCGAGTAAACGAGCGGCAGAGATGAGGGCCGAACGTGCTGAGAAAAAGGTGGAGTTTATGAAAGTGCAGAGGAAGGAGTTTGAGGAGACTCTTGAGAAGCTGATGAAACAGATTGATGTTGTTGATGCCGAAGTAAGCGGTCTACTACTGCCACCACTACTACTACTACTACTACTACTACTACTACTACTACTACTACTACTACTACTACTACTACTACTACTACTACTACTCCTACTACTACTACTACTACTACTACTACTACTACTACTACTACTACTACTACTACTACTACTACTACTACTACTACTACTACTACTACTACTACTACTACTAGCACAACTTTCCATTCATTCAGTTAGCGTTCTTATCCAACTAAGGGACGTGCGCGCCTCGAATAACAGTAAACTTGTGCCATCGCGCTCTATTCTCAACATCACTGCGAGCGCGCCTCCATACACCACCACGATCCTCATAATCTTCTCTAACCATCTTCAACCATTTGGAGGACTCCTTAACCTCTGCCTCAACCCATTCCCTTTGCACGGACCCCTCCGGTTGTCTCAATGCATGGCCGAACCAGCGCAGACGCTTCTGACTCATCACCTCCCTCACTGTCCAACCATCCAACCACTGCATAATATCAGCTTCCGATACTTTCCAATTGTACTCCCTCTCAATTGTACTTGCAAAGTCAACCTCATTTCTTTCCCATCTCAATACATAAGAGACCAATCTATTACAACACTGCTGTAGTCTATCAATATCGTTCTTCACACATATCCATGTTTCCAAGTTGTAGAGTAGAACGCTTAGCACACAACTTTTGAAGACCTTTCTCTTCGTGCTACTCAATATACCCTTAGCTCTACAAACCTTCTTCAATTCATTGAAAACGCTCGTCGCTCTTTCTATCCGCCGGAATTTCTCTGCTCGTCTTCATTTTCGGAGTCAGCAATGTGCCAAGATATATTTCGGAGCTAACACAATTAAGTTCTTGTCCCTCTATGAATTTGATCGATACTCTCTCAATCTCTTCTCCAACAACCCCCCTCCTGTACATACCAACTTTCCTGCTCTTCCTCAGTGCTCTTGCTCCTTAGTAGTCATCTCACTATAGCTAGCACATTTTCCGAGTCGTGCGTGTATTCTCAACGCCTTGTCACTATGAAAACTACTCCCATACAGTCTGCATTTCCATTCGTCTATCGATGAAACCGATCGATCAAAACCCAACCTCATATTTCTCAATTTATCGCCATCCTCATCCTCAATCCATCCAGCCTTCTTACCGACACGTTTGATCACCGTGCCATCGTCATATATCATTTTATGTGAAAATCTATTCCCTCCTTCTAACAGTGAGCCACCCCTCATATGTTCCATCCTCTCATTTCACCCCCACTCTCTCCTCCTTCAACTCTTTCTGGACGAGCCTTCTCTCAGAGAAACCTTTCACCATTGCAACAGTCTTTTCCGTATTCAACTCCAATGCAACGTAATAAACTGCGGCTTGTAATTCTTGGAGGGAATCAACATCCTACACTGATCCTCCGGAAATATGCAGATAATCAGCATATCCCAGCCAGTTTACTAATATACCCTCCTCTTCACACGCTCTCATCGCGGCTCTCATGCAATGATCCAGTGCCAGCACAAATACCACAGGAGACAAACATGACCCTTGTCTTACTCCGATTCTTTGAGCAAACGTTTCTGTCATCCTTCCCGTAGGCGATATTTTGATTGCGATTCTCGAATTGGCACACAGCCTCTTCAAATTGAAGACTTCAATATATCCACTAAGCCTGGTGGAATATCACTCACTGATAATATATTCTACAAGCTCAACTATCGTAAAGAGTCGAATGCTTTTTTGAAATCAACAAATATAGATGCCACCCGCTCAAATACGCCCCATAACTTCCATAACAATCTAACTGGGTCCCTGCAACTTTTCCAAATGTGGAGCCGAATCTTTCAACAACTTTTCTTCTGCTGCTCCCTTAATTCTGTCTATTACGAATCGTATTATACGATTGCTGAAATAACTCTGAGAGTTAAACTCTCTCGACTACTGATAACAGAGAGATGCTCCTGTATCCTTCAGGAGACTTTCTATTCCCTTTGCCCTCGAAGAGAGTCACCAACATCGCTGTGTGGCACTCTGCTGTCAAATCCTCTCCTCTCCAGAGTGCTCTTATAACTATCCCAAGTACTCTCCAACTCTCCGCAGAGTTTTTAAACAATTTCGACGGTAACTTATCTACTCCTGCAGCTTCATTTCTCCTCATCTTCTTACACACATTATCGACCTCTTCATCTGAAGGTGCTTCTACATTTATTTCTCATGAATCAACCTTTTCCTCAGCTACCTCTTCCGCTATTTGGAATCCCCTCCTGCTCATATACGCTTCTTCTCTCTTTTCTCCTCCCTCCCCTAATAATTCTTCGGAGTGGCGAACAAAATTACTCACATCCATCCCCGTCAAATCCACCCCTTTATAACCCTCACCTCCAGCAACCTTATAATGGAGTATAATTCTTTCAAATTATTCACCTTGGCCGCCTCCTCCGCTTTCTCAGTCTGTTGTTTAATCCAATTCCTCTTATTGACTTTCACCATCCTTTCAGCTCCCTTCTGCACTTGTTTGAGAGGCTCAGCATGCTCGTCTCCTCTCTCTATTCTCCTCACCACTTCATTTCGCATTCTCGTTTTTCCCAGGTCGCGTCTCTTATCGAAGGTTTTCTTTTCACGCCATCTTGCTCGACCCTTTCCACTCCTCTCTCAACCGCCGCATTGAGTTGGTTCCATCTATCCCCAACTTCCAGCTCCGAGAATTCTTCTCATATTCCCTCATATTCATCTCTCATCAGCTCGCTGTCGACTAATTCTCCAGACTTCTTAGATCTCAACACTCTAACCAACTGGTTCTTAACCTTAACCTTCGTTTTACATGGCTTTACTAGCACTACTACTAGCACTACTACTGCTACTACTAGCACTACTACTACTACTACTACTACTACTACTACTACTACTACTACTACTACTACTACTACTACTACTACTACTACTACTACTACTACTACTACTACTACTAATAATAATACTGCTACTAGAGTTTGGTAGAGGGTGCGGCTACTGCATGAACTCTCGTCGGCGCAAGATGAGCTGAAGGCTTTGAAGACGGGTATAGCGGGCATGTCTGATTATAATACGGCGATAAAGGAAGCAATGAGGGGTGGGTTTCGTGTTGTTGTTACTGGGAGGATTTATTGACCGGTCAGATGCTCAGAGATCAGCACGTAGTGTCGAAGTTGAGAAGAACAACTCCGAGGAGCTTCCACACGTCGTGGAGGTGGGAGTCGCCCAAGTCTTTCGAGAGCATGTTCGCATTCAGATGGTGGAGGGTAGCCCACCCGTAATCGCCACAGTTCGATCTGCGAAGACGAAGCGTTCTGGTGGCGGCGGTTTATCTCTTCTGAGTGTTCGAATGTCGGAGCTTGGGCCGAGTCAGAATAAGCTCTCATCGCTGCGCTAATGAATCAATTTTTTTCAGAGGGGGAAAATGATAAGGAAAACATTGCGGTTGTTGAGACTATTGTGGAGGAGATGGAGGCTGAGAGGATAGCTCAGTCGAAGGTGAGCGGTGGTCTTGAAGGATTTGGATGATGTGCTTGGTGTGGTAGGAGCGGCAACCGTTGAAGCCCTCAGCGTTCCAACCGAAGATAATACCGTTGAACCCAGGAGCAATACCCTCGAAAATCGGCAAGCCCCGCAATCCTGGTGTTATCCCCGCCACGACTCCTCTTACTATGTTCAAGCCTCATCGGGTGGGACTGTCTGTCTGTTCTCGTCTCAGTCGGTGTTCAGGTTCGGCAGCTGGCGCAAGTGTTTACTGCGAGCGCGTGCGCGGCGGCAGCTCGGTCACCGAAAAAGAAGGCAGTCGGGATTGTTGCGAAGCCACGTATGAAGAATCTTATCGGCCTTAGGTGGGTTAATTGGTTGGAGCTTGTTGTGACTTAGTCTTACTGTCAGGGCGTTAGGACGGTTGGATGGTGGCAATCCCAATGGTGCTTAAGATGATCATCATCGTTGTTGCTGCGGTTTCTCCGTCTATTGGCATAATTAGAAGCATGTGATGAAGCTTATAATGAGATTATAGTAATTCTTTTCCATGCAGACCGCACTTGACTGATTATTAAGGATATTTGTGTCGAGTATTGCTCTCGTCGAGAGGCCGGCGATAGCATGCGCTGGTGGTCAGCATAACGAAGCAGACTGCTTCAAGCAGTATGGGAGTTTTAACGATGTTCAAATGCGCGAGGTCGTTGGAATTGTGGTATCATCTATGCTTGAGGTCCAGTTCTAAGTGTAAACGAAATGAGTACTCCGTATAAGTATGGTTTGGGAGGCATGAGTAGTCAAGCGAGAGTCCTCAGCCAGAGGCGCTGGCCCAGAGAGCACCGAAGTGATTTTCTGCGACAGATGAGAGAATCCTGTAACCTCGCTACTACTTGTGCGGAACGAAGCAACCTGCGTTGCAAGTTCCGGAGAGATTTTCGACAGAACTTCGGGGTTGAGAGTTTCGGATCTCACAAGTTCTGTAGCAACGTATCATGCTTTCGCCCCACTACCCACTACTCCCAAGTTGGGAGTCCCAACTGACGAAATCAATGTATGTTATTGGACAACCGACATTCAACAACAGTATAGTAGAGTGTTCAACGTGAACCAGCGAGCGAGTAAAGTTGAATTCCGTCGACAAGTGGGCCGAGTGTGCTGGGCGTCCCCGCTGTGCGGGGCAGCACAGGAGGCCTATGAACGTGCAGTCGCACCCTTCTCTCTTCCTGACCCCCATCCGGGCTGAGAATGCTCATATTATCATGTGTTCCAGCGCCCAAGCAGTAGAGCATCAGGTCGTTATTTCGAAGATCGCGGGTTGTAGTACCCCCGGGAGGGATTTCCACGAAATCATTTCATTTCGCACACCGCTAGGTCGCACAAGCTGTATGCAAGGGAGATGGACACAATTTACTCCCTCTCCTAAGGTCCAACTCTCCGTGTATGACAAGAGAAGATATAATTATAGGTGATAAACCCTCTACGCAGGAGACCCTCTCACAAGCTACCACTCCTCAACAAGGAAGTAGTGAGGCGTAATGATTCATTATAGCCGAACTTCGAGACTGTCGAATCGACAGTGTCGATACCTCTCTGCCGGCTCGACCTTACCTCAAGGTCCTAGCATTTTCCTCCCCTGAGATGGACGTCTCGGACTGAAATGTTTATATTGACGTATTTAGTTGACTGATCCGTGATTCGCGTGATATACAGGGCATTTATTACACCCTCGTTATGAAACGAAGTTGTGGGACTACAGCGCACTTCACGAATGGGACGCTACGCGTGAAACTGATTCACGTATTTCACGACTGCATCTCCGTACACCTCGGGAAGCTACGATGGATTTGTTCAGTGAGCTTGTGCTATCACTGAATTGTGATAGTAGATTGAGTTATAGTCGAAGCTTATTTGCCCGCGTTAGGCATGAGCATCGAGTTGAAAAGCATAACTGCTTCGAGTCGTACAGTAGCGTTGCACTGAAAAGTTAGCAACTCCGTTTACCATCCCGATGTTGAACATCCTCCTCGTCGTCCTATTGATATGTGGTGTGGCTTGTACCTTCAAGATGGGCAACGTTCGCATGCAGATGAAGACGACACATTTCTGCAACCTCGACTTGAGGGACATCAAGGGGAACCCAATGGCATGTCACATCTCCAAGGCTATGGAGACTGAAGGGCTGGTCCTACCTGGTATGGATGATAACAAGTCGTTCACCGTTCATCGAGACATCTTCGTCGTCAAGGACGGTCAAGCTGTAGTTCAAGCAGCGCCAAGTCACCCGTATCTGTATCTCCTTATGAGCCAGAACGACACCCACTTCAGCACCTTTCAACTCTTTAATAAACAGTCATTCCTCCTAGAGGAGGGAACCAGGCGAAAGAAGGATACACCCGATGGTCGCAGGCTCAATGCCAATCGTACACTCGAGGATGATGGTTGGGTCTATAAAGGTTTGGTAGACGAAGGTGGACAGAAGCTTAGCAAATGGGTCAGAAGTGGAGTAGAAGGTGTTGATCCAAAATCCGGTCTCAACTTCACTGCCCTCGCTCAGACTGGTATGATCACTAACGCTTGGGTTCTCTATCTTGACAAGGATCAGAAGCAGATGGTGAAGATCTTGGGTATTAACACCTTCGAGAATGATAAAGTCTATCTCGAGTCCAACGTCACTCATTGGGAAGAGCTCGACGATGCATTAACTCTGGACGTTGCCATGAAGGATATTCACGCGGCGTATGATATCGTCAAGAGCGACAATCGGCTACCAGAGGAGGTAGAGGCTCCACAACTGGACGTTGAGTTCATCAAGACCCGCTTGGTTAGCGAAGAGGCTCGTCTATTCTTCAGCGATGGGAAGAGCCACGACTGGAGGTCGAACAAGACTCGTATTCGTGGAGATAAGTCGGTAGCACCGATCGATTACTTCCACCTCCCCAGTGGCTCTGCTGCACATAAGTTCTTCCTGTACAAGTATCACTCTTCTGTACAGGGGCAGGAGAAATTCGAGTTTCCATCGGCTTGCAAGAGCGGTGTGACCAAGACGGTCAGTCCATTCTGCCTGTATGTTGGTTACGCCTCTAGCGACACGCTACTGGCCCTCGAGGTATATATGGCTTATACCGATGTAACCATTGAGGAAAATAGAGCACACCTCAACGTCACAGTCCATTTGAAGCAGCCGAAGACGGAGGTCCTACTCTTTGCTTTCGAAGCCGCTGGATGCGCCCTGGTTTGGGCTGCTGATATTGGCTTCGCAGGCTTGCGCATTCAAGTATGTCTTACCGGTGCAGGCCAAGGTGGGAATGGCACTTACTGGGGGAAAATAGCAATGTCGGTCGCGCTCATAATCACTGTTAAACCCTTTCCTTCGTTGAAAGCCACACTCTCTGGTCAAGTTGCGGTCAATGCTTCGAAAAATGGTGATATCAAAGCATATGGTGAGCTGGGCATTGATGTCTCGGCGGTAGCTGTCGGAGCGGGTATTTCCCTGGACATCTTCGGAAACACCGTTGATCATAAATCGGATATCTGGCAATTCAAATCCCACTTCAATCTCAAGGTATGGGTCGACATTAAGATCTACAGCCATGAGTGGCCATGGAGTTGGACTATTTGGGAAGCTGGTCCAGTTAAAGTGCGATAAGTCGGCGAACACGTGTTGACGGTGTATCGAGGGCATAGTTGCAGTCCCATGTGAAAGCTGCGTGAGTATCTTGTATAATAAACTATTATGCTCTTATTATGTATTGAACTCTGTTGAAGAATAACGAAGCACACGTAGGGCCTACGTCGTAGGCTCGTGAAGAAGCATTTTGAGTCACATTGGTCGGGTTAGCCGATGAGTGGCACATCATGAGCCCGTTCTGATTCCGCTTTCGTTGTCCTAGCAGCTAGGACCTAGCTGATGCACTACGCTTCCAGCGGTTGATCCGCTGCAATCCCGTAGCTTAGCGCTCAGGAATCTCAGTTCATAAGTTAACCTACTCTTTTCAGATTGTTCTGTCGTGTTTTGACCAGTAAGGAGTATCACATAACTAACCACATCATTCGACCCGAGCTGATCACCTATGTCAGAGCTAGACGACAAGGTGTACTTTGCAACACCTCCGACCTACTACTACTACTACTACTACTACTACTACTACTACTACTACTACTACTACTACTACTACTACTACTACTACTACTACTACTATGCGAGGCTCCTTGATGAACGATTGAGTCTAGCTGTGATTAGATCCACACCAAGAACTCACCCAGGTAATACTGATAACAAACGCAGCCGCCCGTCATGGTGGCATAAAGGCCTTGACACACTCCGTAAGGAATATCACTCACTCAGAGCTTCCACAAGACGCCGGAACAGGGAGAACTGTGATAGTAACACATGCCAAATAGGGCTTAACCATGTGAAGAAACTAAAGCGGAAGTACTTCAATGCCATCAAGAAGGCCAAACTCGACTCTGTCGAGAGAGACCTGCGATCCATGGACGAAACTGGCATGCACAGGCGCTTTAAGGCGAGGCCTCCTTGCAGGGCTTTATCTAGACCTTTTCATTGACGCACTTGCACTTAGCCCTCCATTTCATCGTGCACTCGCCGAGTGCCACTCGGCGAGTCACTGAGTGCCATTAACGAGCGAAACATTGATCCCTGGGCAGTCCAGAAATTAAACTCGTAATCGTGGAAAATTATTAAGTTTGTATCATAACTAATGACACCTTGTGACTGATAAGGCCACTAAGTCTTAGTGACTAAGACGAGGTGGATATGCGCTTGCTATTTTTTTGTACCCAATGCTCCCACACTTCCTCTATGAAGCTCTCGTAGTCAGCTACAGCGGCCGGGGCCGCGTCTAGGCTTGGTAACGGTGGACCTTGCAGGCTTGCACGCATCAACTGGCTCAAGATTTCGCCAGAGAGCGGCCTGCGATCACTGGCTAACCTAGTTGTTGAGCTGAAGCAGCGCTCCACAGAGGCGGTGGAAGAAGGTAAACACATGACAATAGCACAGATCTTGCAATGACGCGGAAAGAGGGAAACAAGTCGAGGATTGCCGAGGAACGCTTTATGGAAATCGCAATCCTCAGGAATAGACTCCATAGCAAGTTGTCTTTTCACGAACTCAACCTCCTTAACCAGAGCCTGTTTCCAGGAGCAAGATGCCCCATCCAATTTCACTGCAACCAACGCTGCGGTTGCTTCGGTCCAGCTGGGAGCATCAAATCGCCCAAGGGTCATCAAAAAGAGGACATCCTCCTGAAATCGGGATCGAAGCTCTGCTACCAAGTCACCAAGGTATGGGGAAACCACTTGAAATAGGGAGGGATCAGACACACAGCTGCGGCGAGCGTTCGATGCTCTCACTTCTATCTTGTGGGATAGGTCGAGGTACTGGTCCTTGATCAGTCCTTCTAGTGCATCCTGACTGTCAAGCTCCGCTATGAAAGTTATCAGGTTGGTGGTGATATTTATGGCACTACTATATGAGATTCCCGTGGACTGAAACTTCGCGGACACTTCTGCCATCCCTCCTAGTACGTGGCGAAGGACGATCAAAAGCTGAATATTCATCTTATCAGTGAAGACCTTGATGAGACCCTTACAGCGGCTCCTATCTTCTCGCAAAAAATCCCGATCATGGGATATCTTGTCGAGAGTACGTAGCACGATTGGCAATACCTACAAGAGTAGTGGTAGTAGTAGTAGAGTTCCACTGTTGCGTAGCGGTACCTGAATGAGTCTTTCGACGGCATTGGCCGTCGATAGCCATCTGGTTGCTGCCACCTCTATCAGGCCTTTGTACCGCTCGTGGGGTTCTCTCAACTCAGCTGACGCTGCCTTGAGCATGCTCAATTTCTTATTTGACTTAGAAAAGAGGGAATACAGTGATTGAATACTATCAAGACAATCGCTCACCATAGGATGTGGGCCGCGAGCAACAGTGCGAGCCACTAGTTGCAGACGATGGGCCCTACAATGCACGAACTTTACATTCGACCCCCAATTTTGTAAGATCTTTCCATATACACCTTCATTGCCCGAGCTCATGCTAGAGCAACCATCGAAGCTAACAGTGTGTATAGCAGAGATCGGAATACCACGATCACGAATGGCACGGTCAATAACATCGAAAATAGTCTCCGCTTTAGTGTTGGGAACAACCTGAACGTGTAACATTGTCTCCGTAGTCTTGACTTCATTATTCAGCTTGCCTCCTGGAGTATTGTCAGCAACAATGTGTCTTACGTAGATGCTAAGGACATTTTCACCGTGTGCGGATGTTTCATCGGCTAGAATGGCAACCTCACCAAAATTATCAATCGAGGTTGCTATCGAAACAGAAGCACGATGATCGATAGTAAAGTTAATGGAGTCTATAACATCGGTGCTTGTCGTAGTGGACCGGTAGGTGGCATTGAGAGGCCTTGTTGCCGCGAAGGTCGCTAGTCTTGGGCACACCCGATAGAGAAGGTCCAAAAGAGTAGGGTACTTCGTGGTACTCGACTCTGTCGAGAGAGACCTGCGATCCATGGACGAAACTGGCATGCACAGGCGCTTTAAGGCGAGGCCTCCTTGTCTTGCCACGTACGACAGCGCCGAGATACTAGACCACTTCTTTGGACTAAATGAGGAGTGCCCACCTGCTCCTGCGGCTGAGATCACGGATCCACCACCAACCTTGCTCGATGACCTGGGCGGCGAGATCACTGACCAGGACATTGAACCAGTACTGTCGAGCCTAGCCACAAGGAAATCCTGCGGCTGGGATCAGATCTTCAATGAACATATCCAGTATGCATCCAAAAACTCTTCTTGGTTCAAGCCAGCTTTCAGGAGGATGGTAACTGCCATCCTTAACCTAGGACACTTTCCAAGGATATTCAAACGGTCTGACCTCTGCATGATATATAAAAACAACGGAAAAACTGGCTCAAAGGCCTGGAGGTCTGTAGCCTTGATGAGCTGTCTGGGAAAGACGGCGGAGGCCGTTATTAAGACGAGGCTTGTCGCCAGCCTAGGGCCTACACCTGCCCATATATACGGATACAGCAGTGGACGAAGCACAACCACTGCCGTCGATTACATATCAGGTCCTATTTTTGATCCTAGACATGAAAAGATGGTGACCACAACATTTGATGTGTCCTCTGCCTTCGACAAGGTATCCTTCAGACACATCATCGATGAGGTCGTCGCCATCACTGAAGGTCCAGCCTGGGGATGCCTACTTAGCTCCTACCTACACGGACACCAAATCTTCCTGGACAACCGGCACACCTTCCGTGTGGCAGGTGTGGCCCAAGGAGGTGTCTTGGCACCGGTCTGCTTCGCGGCAGCCACCTGGCGCATGGGGGATCGGCTCCAGGCACTCACTGGCCCATACAGGATACGGGTTGCCATCTACGCTGATGACATTTGCGCCAAGATCATTGCCAATGGGATACTTGGATTATCACAAGGTCTCAAGGACGCTGTGAGCGTCATCAAGCCTTGGACTGACAGCGCAGACCTACACCTGGATCCAGCCAAGAACGAGACCATCATAGACAGTGAGATCACAAGCGTCCTGCTCAAGGACCACCTGGAAGATACTGACATTCACTACATTGCGGAGAACACCAAGTCAAGTATCAAGTGGTTAGGACTGTGGCTGACTCCACACAACAACTGGAGGACACACATAGACTATGCCATCGGGAAAGGTAAGCGTGCCTTGTCCATGCTGAGACGTTTGTTGATAAAGGACTGGGACTTCTCACCGAAGCTTGCACTGCTAGAATGGAAGGTGCATGTGATACCGACCCTTCTATATGGGTCGGAAATCTGGGGGGGTACAGCCTCCCGTAAATGGTATATCGAAAAATGTACCAAACTTGAAGCTGTATTCGCTCGCAAGCTCTTTGGGTTGCCTCGCTCAGCACCCAATGACCTTGCCTCGCGGATGCTAGCCACTGTCTGCGAGCCCATCTGGGTTCAGGCCAGATTAAGGTTCGCTTGCTACAAACTCCACAAGGCAGGATCGACGCAGGCACCGGTGTCGGAAAACACTCGAAAGATCCTCGAAGGATGGGGCGTGGACTCCATCGAGGACAGGGAGACACTTTGCACTCCCGTCGACGGCATCAGTAAGTCTCCACCAGCTGGTGTGGTATTCAATATTGAAAACGGAGAACCACCGAACCCTCCGAAGAGAAGCACATTGTGCTTCTATTCGGATGGCTCGGTGGTAGATCGCGGTAACGTAGCCGCGAAAACAGGCTGTGGTGTGATTAGATGTGCTCCAGAGGCTCCTCATGGCTACGAAGGCAAATCCTTCAACACCGGCCCCTACTCCAACATCGCACAATGCGAGCTAGCTGGCATTGATAACTGTCTTCAGTGGGCACATGAACTACCACAAGACCAGGCTGACCTCTACATATGTCTGGATTCACTGGCTGCCATCAGGGGGGTACAGAAGGCGTTCAATCAGAGGAACTCAAGATGCACCGAGTTGGTCCACTCCATCATACAGAAGACAGATGCGTGGGTTGAACACGCAAACGGTAAGGTGTTTTACTGGTGGGTCCGAGGGCACAGAGGACACCTGTACAACGAGCTGAGCGATGTCTTTGCGTCACGAGGGGCACGAGAGGGCGCCGCCACAATGACTTATATTGTGCGCAAGCCTCTGTCGTGCACCAAAGGTCAGATCATCAACACTGCACACCATGAGATGGAAGAACACTGGAGAAAAGTTCGTTGCACTAGAGCGGCTTCACGGATAGGTTTAGGCCTTGGCCGAAAACAACTGCTGAAAATTGTTAAAACTACTCTCAAATGGGGAGCAAAAGACAGGCGTAGATTGGCTGAACTGATAAGCTTTCACAGCAGCACTAGACACTATAGGCAGCATTTGACCAGCACGGTGATAGACACCAGGTGTAGATACTGTTCTGAGTCGAGGGAGGACCTGGCGCACTTTTTCAGCTGCCCAGCTGTTAAGCTGAGCAGAATTCGTCGTAAAGTTTGGCCCGAGCACTATTCGGTAGATTTCCTGTCAGGGGAGAGGACTTCGAAGGGCATGGCTCTCATAAGAGATTCTCTCGTCGGCGCAGGCGAAACAGGTTTGAACCGCGTCAGGCGCTTCCTCAGGACGGTAGCGCCTTCGTGGAAGAGATAAGGAGATAACTGAGTTGGAACGTGGGAGTGGGCCCTACAGTAACAGGTTGTAACAGTTGGTATCGTACGTAAATTCACGCATGCTCATGAGTGATTGCGCACGCCGTCAGGCTCGTCGAGCCAGGGGCTATACGACCATACTGCAGAAGCAGGAGATGTCGTGCCCCCAGCACAAAACAAAACAAAAAAAAACTACTACTACTACTACTACTACTACTACTACTACTACTACTACTACTACTACTACTACTACTACTACTACTACTACTAGCACAACTTTCCATTCATTCAGTTAGCGTTTTTATCCAACTGAGGGACGTGCGCGCCTCGAATAACAGTAAATTTGTGTCATCGTGCTCTATTCTCAACATCATTACGAGCGCGCCTCCATACACCACCACGGTCCTCAAAATCTTCTCTAACCAGCTTCAACCATTTTGAGGACTCCTTAAACTCTGCCTCAACCCGTTACCTTTGTATGGACCCCTCTGGTTGTCTCGGTGCCTGGCCAAACCAGCGCAGACGCTTCTGACTCATCACCTGCCTCACTGTCCAACCTTCCAAGTTGGACGGATGATTGGTACGTCTTATGGACGTACTGGTATTATGCAGCGGTTGGATGATCCAACCTGTCCAACCGCTGCATAATATCACCTCTCGATACTTTCCAATTGAACTCCCTCTCAATTGTATTTGCAAAGCCAACCTCATGTCTTTCCCATCTCAATACGTAAGAGACCAATCTATTATCACCCAACCACTACTGTAGTCTATCAATATCGCTCTTCACACATATCCATGTTTCCGAGTTGTAGAGTAGAACGCTTAGCATACAAGTTTTGAAGACATTTCTCTTCGTGCTACTCAATATACCCTTAGCTCTCCAAACCTTATTCAATTCATTGAAAACGCTCGTCGCTCTTTCTATCCGCCGGAATTTCTCTGCTCGCCTTCATTTTCGGAGTCAGCAATGTGCCAAGATATATTTCGGAGCTAACACAATTAAGTTCTTGTCTCTCTATGAATTTGATCGATACTCTCTCAATCTCTTCTCCAACAACCCCCCTCCTGTACATACCAACTTTCCTGCTCTTCCTCAGTGCTCTTGCTCCTTAGTAGTCATCTCACTATAGCTAGCACATTTTCCGAGTCGTGCGTGCATTCTCAACGCCTTGTCACTATGAAAACTACTCCCATACAGTCTGCATTTCCATTCGTCTATCGATGAAACCGATCGATCAAAACCCAACCTCATATTTCTCAATTTATCGCCATCCTCATCCTCAATCCATCCAGCCTTCTTACCGACACGTTTGATCACCGTGCCATCGTCATATATCATTTTATGTGAAAATCTATTCCCTCCTTCTAACAGTGAGCCACCCCTCATATGTTCCATCCTCTCATTTCACCTCCACTCTCTCCTCCTTCACCTCTTTCTGGACGAGCCTTCTCTCAGAGAAACCTTTCACCATTGCAACAGTCTTTTCCGTATTCACCTCCAATGCAACGTAATAAACTGCGGCTTGTAATTCTTGGAGGGAATCAACATCCTACACTGATCCTCCTGAAATATGCAGATAATCAGCATATCCCAGCCAGTTTACTAATATACCCTCCTCTTCACACGCTCTCATCGCGGCTCTCATGCAATGATCCAGTGCCAGCACAAATACCACAGGAGACAAACATGACCCTTGTCTTACTCCGATTCTTTGAGCAAACGTTTCTGTCACCCTTCCCGTAGCGATATTTTGATTGCGATTCTCGAATTGGCACACAGCCTCTTCAAATTGAAGACTTCAATATATCCACTAAGCCTGGTGGAATATCACTCACTGATATATATTCTACAAGCTCAACTATCGTAAAGAGTCGAATG